TATTGATAGCAGAAACAAAGGCGACAGAAATATGTAGTTACTTTTTCTGATGCCGTCAGAATTGTAAAATTAAGTACATACGTAAAACTGATAGGGGAATTGTGCTTAATACGGCATACTAGATAAAATGGCATATCATGTGTATTGTGGAAACTAAAAAGAAAATTTAAACTTGGCGCCAATAACTATAACGAATTTTTGTTTGCGTGAAGATGTATCCAACAGTCATGGCTGTGATCGGTGTTGGAAGCAGGTGACATGTGATTCTTTTCTCGAAGGTAAATATAAATTTTTCTTGAAACGGATCTAATTTGCTATAACTTTCGTTAAACGGATTTTTACTTTATCAAATTTAAACGTAGAGCAGTTAAAAATGTGTATTTTTTAACCCATATTCAGTTTTGTAAATAAACGTAACCTAAAAAAATATCAGCTTTAACTTTCCATAACCTACGGTAGGGGCAATATGGCACACAGGGAATCAGGGTAAAATGACATATTATGCCGTATTCCCCGAATATGTTCCCGACAATAACTAAATTCTTACTAAAATAACAATAATGTGACTTTTATGTTGCAGTATGGGAAATAATTATATTCGTAAAACAAACCGACAGAAATGGTCTGAGGCCGACATGCTTCAAGCTATAGATGCGGTGCGAGCTAAACGCATGGGATGGCTTAAAGCCACTAAAATGTTCAATGTCCCATTTGGGACTTTAAGACGCCGGGTAAATAATATGAATAAACGTGTTAAAGGTACCCAAAAAGGAATGGGAACGAGCACGACAATACCACTTGAAGCTGAGCAAGAAATTGTTAATCATATTCTTGATTTAGAATCAAGATTATTTGGTGTTACAGCTCTTGAATTAAGACAGCTGGCCTTTAAAATTGCAACTGAGAGAGGCTATTCTCATAAATTTAATACAGAAAAACAATTGGCGGGGTGGGACTGGTTAAGCGGGTTTCGCCGAAGATATCCGGAAATATCACTTAGAGCTCCAGAAGCGACGTCAGCAGCAAGAGCCAAAGGTTTTAATAAAGTCCAGGTGAAGAAATTTTTTGACTTACTCACTGACACCATGACTAATGAAAATATTCCTACTAGTAGAATTTATAACATGGATGAGTCTGCCTTGACAACAGTACATAAGCCTCCAAGGGTATTTGCCCGCAAAGGAAAAAAACAAGTAGGCGCTCTTACGCGAAAGAGGCCAACATGTAACAGTAGTGGCTTGTATGAGTTCTGGTGGTCGTTTTATTCCTCCAGCATTAATATTTCCAAGGAAAAACTATAAAGCTGAGTATTTTGATGGATGCCCGCCTGAAACGTTAGGATTGTGTTATGAAACTGGATATATGGTCTCAGACCTTTTCAGTAAATGGATGGATCATTTCATTAACCACGTGAAGCCATCAAAAGAAGAAAAAGTTCTACTAATCGTGGATGGACACAGCAGCCACAAATCGTTAAATGCTCTTGAAAAAGCCAAGAAACACGGCATTGTTTTGTTATGTTTACCAGCTCATTGTACACATCGGCTCCAACCGCTAGATGTCTCATTTTTTGGCCCTTTGGAAACTTATTTCAATGCAGCATGTGCCCTTTGGATGAAAAATCATGTGGGAAGAACAATAACTTTATACCAGATAAGTGGATTATTTTGTGCTGCTTATTCAAAATCTGCTACTGTTGAAAATGCTTTAAGTGGTTTTCGAAGTTCGGGCATATCACCATTAAATCCAGACATTTTCCCCGACCATTTGTACGCACCAAGTGAAGTTACTGACAATCAAAATTGGTATGATGAAAACACCAACAAAGCTAACTTTACTGTGGAGGAAAATGTTGACAATAGTAATAATAATGAGAAAGTAAACAGTGAAAGGGCAGAAATTATAGAAAATGTCGTACTTGATAAACAAGAAACAGCTAGTAAAAAAAAAGAAATAGTTGAAATTAACCAGAAAACTGATAAAAGTGATAATATAAACCAAGCTAGTTCCTCATCACTCGAAAATAATTATCAAATTTACATTGGAAAAGATAGGAGTAGTGAGGGCAAGTCTAATCTCGATATTTCCATAAAAGAGTGTCTAAATTTACTGTCTCCTATACCTGTAATTGAGAAGACGGTTTCTGGAAAAAAAAGCAAAAAGCGGCAATCACAGGGAACTGCAGTTTTAACAAAAAGCCCTTATATTGCGGAACTGAAAGATAAAGAAGCGAATAAAAAGAAAAAAACGTTGAGAGCGTCAGCTAGAATAATCAAACATAAACTGTTCCAACCTACGTGTGATACAAGTAGTGAAGAAAATGATCATTGGGAAGATTTCGAAGACGATGAAGATGATGCGTGTTGTCTTTATTGCAATGATAGTTACAAGAGATCTAGAGCCGGTGAGAAGTGGATAAGGTGCATTAGCTGCAAAAAATGGTCCCATGTCGAATGCTCAGGAGTTAGTCCCAAAACGAAGCAGTTTATCTGCGAAATTTGCGAAGAATGAATAAGTTCGTCGGTAAAACCTATTTTTTGTTATTTTTTTATATTTTGTATATTATTTACATTTTTAGTTCATATTTTTGTTGTGTTGTTCTCTAATTATTGAAGTAATATTTTGGTTTTAATATTTTTTTTTGTTATAATTAATAAATATATACGAATTTCTTCTTAAAATTCCTATTCCTATTCCTATGCCATTTTACACCGTACATCAGGGTAATATAGATTCTGTCACTTCCAAAACTTTGAAGTGTTGCAAAAATGTAGTGCTTGATTAAATATATGTTATAACTGAACTTCAAACTTAATTGATAAAGCTAACATGTGCCACAAATCAGAAAAAGATTATGTTTTTTTTTATACGTGAAAATGATTTTTTTTAAAAAGTATGCCGTATTAGACATATCTCCCCTAGTTTCTTCAGTATTTAAATTTATTTAACACCCCAAAAATATCTAAAATTTTGCTTATTAAACAACGCTGGGGTGCTTAAAAAAATCACTTTGCTCTTGAACTTTATTTACAGCTCATTATTAACGTTGTTGGCATTTGGTGAAATCATTTTTGTTTAACTCTTACAACAGTTGTAGATGACAGGAAGGTAGTTTGTCTTTATTCCTTGGAATAATTATAATTACTTCTCCACAAGTTATCACTTACATTTCGGGTACTTGTATGTGGATCTTATTACTACACTCTCCAGTATCCGAAACTCATGTGCTCTTCTTTATTTGTTTTAATACTAACTTGCTGTGTTCTTTGGAAACGGTACTTCAGTTTCTGAAAAACACGAACGTCTGCTTTTTGAAGGTCTGTGTATTTTTGAGCATCAATTTCATTTACCTTTACCTAGAAGAGAACCATGCCGATTAAATTTTTCTTATAAAGACTTTTGATATTGTTTCTTGTCGTGGTTTTCAAGTTATAAAATTCTTCATATGTATTTTGGGGTGTTTAAAAAAAAGCAAAATAGAAATTTCGCAAAACCACTCGATCACATCACATGAATTTTCGGGTGCTCTACATCTATCGATGAAATCTGATTTATTTGAATTTATCATGTCATATCATCGATTTTTTTCTATCAAAATTCAAGTTTATTTTTTATACGTTTCTTAAAAATGTGTAATCATAGACAACCGTTTTTTCTGAAATGAGATCTATACTAGTTCCAAATTTGGCACAAAAATCATCCAACAGACACTCAAACATTCTTGTATAAAAAGCTTGCAGTTACGTGTGTACCTCCTTTAGATCAAGGGTAGATCGTTCAGTTTTATTTTTGTCTTAAGCACTGTTAAGTTCTTCAAGGTCATCATCTGAAAAATTAATGTCAGCTTAAAAATTTTTGTCGTAATTAATTTTGCCTTTTCCATTAATTGTGTCGAAAAATTCCTATTTATTTATAAAGAATATTCCACAACTTTACTATTAAAGCACTTCGGGAGACTGATGATTAAAAAATTCAAATACGAAGTGAAGTACTTTTACTAACCATTGAGATGACCCACAATGTATGACAGGAGTTTTATTTTTGTTTAAGGCATTGTTAAGTTGTTCAAGGTCATCATTTGAAAAATTTATTCCAGTTTAAACATTTTTCTTGTAATTATTTTGCTTTTTTCATTAATTGTGCCCAAAAATTTCTGTTGATTTGTAAAGAATATTTCAAAACTTTACTAATACAATGTAGAGAAACAGTTCCAACATTATAGAAGAATCAATTCATTTAACGCGAAAAGTTTTTTAAATGCTCAGACACTTATGTATTTTAAAGTAATTTAAGGCTTGTCATTATTTTTGAGTAACTGCTTCATCATTATTTTTCGTAACAAGGAACACACAATTTTTTGTTGCTATTGGTATATTCTGTAACTTTAAGGAACTATAATCCTCTAGATTACATTATTTCGTCACTGTTGTCTATGTATTAGATCTGGTAATGTTTTATTTTTATTAGCTGATAAACGGTAAACAATTTCACGTTGCAAAGTAAAAACTCTTTAAAATTAACATTTATTTTTTTGAGCTATCTTTTTCGAAAATAGTATTTTACTTAATTAATTTAATTTGGGCGTATAAACCTGGAACATTATTTTATACCTACAAAAAATCTCTCTGGTGTTATATAATTTAATGAACACAACATTAAATAAAATATCACAATTATCAGAAGCCGGATGTGGTATTACGTCAATTAATATTAATAAAAAATATATCAGGGGAGATATAAGCAAAATATTAAAATGATGTAATTAAGTCGAGAATTCTATTGGTGTATTTTACTGATTGATAATCGTAATGAAGATTAACAATTTTACAGTATGTTGCAAATAAGATTTGCGTGGTGACAAATTGTAAGTAAACAACTAAATAAATGGAATTTTTGCGCAGATCAGACGATCAAATGCGAAGTCCAAAAATGTCGTGTACATTTCCCCACCACTAATGTCTTTTTGAATAAAATCCTCGTTTTTACGAGGCTGATGTAATTGGTACCCACGCCATCGCAAGTGTCGCACAGCTTCACTATTTATATTTTTTCTGTTGAGATTATATTTGATTTTTATTCTCATTTATAGTTACATTTTGTTAAAGTTTTCATATTAATTGTGAGAATGCCAGCAATTGAATTTGAAACGCGTCCGTCAGGATCAGGACTGATCGTGAAGGGAGTCACCGATCAGTATGCCGATGGCAAAATGGCAAGCGTTTACTCCGAGTTTATTGGGGATACGAATATTAGAACTCAGAAATACAAAACATTTTTGCTTGATTTATTAAGAAAAAAGGGCTGCAGGAGAATTTTAGATGTTGCTTGTGGAACTGGGTAGGGATCAAAAAATCCTCTATTAGAGAAAAATAATATTTTTGAAGCTGTTTCTATACACCTATTTTTTTTTGCAGAATTGATTCAATAATGCTTCTGGAGGAAGGATTCGAAGTAGTTTCAACTGATGGCTCTGACAAGATGCTCAGATATGCGTTCGAAACAAGGTGGGCAAGGCGAAAGGAACCGGCGTTTGATAAGTGGGGTAAATACATTAATTTCGCTTTAAATATTGTGATGTTGTCAACGATTTGTGTGTTTATAGTTATTAAACAAGCGAATTGGGTAGATCTCTATGAAACTGTGAAGGACATTGTAGGAGACGGATTTGATGCGGTAATCTGTTTTGGTAGTTCTTTTGCCCACTTGTTGGATTCTTTTGGAGATCAACGTGAACAGAAGTACACTTTATGCATTTTCCTCTTTGAAGAGTTTTAATAATCTTGTTTCAGACAATCTATAAGTAATTTTGAAAAATGTTTGAAGCCTGGTGGTTTACTTCTAGTTGATCACAGGAATTATGATCAACTTCTTGAAGGGAAAGCTCCTACGAAGTGTGTCTATTATGAAGTACGTGTTTTATATATGACCGCAATGTTATTAACCAATTAATTAAAAACAAAATTTTAGGATAGCTCTATTACGAACATAACAACTTCAGTTTTATCTGTAATGGGAAAACCTGCGTTGGTTATTCGAGATTACGTAGTCGAAACTGACAAAAATAATGGAAATAGTGTTAAAGCTGACAATTCCGACACTAAAGTGTGAGTTATCATTAATAATTTCTTTTGTCAACGCGATTTATTTTCCTAAATTTTACAGGGACCTGCGATTAATATTTTATCCACATATGATGAGGGACTTTAGAAATATGTTAATGGAATTTTTTGGAAAAAATGCAATATACCACACATTAGGCGATTTTAAGAATTTAGATGAAGTTGAAAATCCCACTTTTTACATTCATATTGTGGAAAAAGCAAAATAATCTCTCCTTTTTTTAATATTAAGAATAAGGAAATGATATGTTTTTCCTTGTTTTATTATTAATATTTTGTTGCTATATTTTGTATACAAAATGAGAGATAATTAATACACCAACGTAAACAATGCTACTTGTTGATAAGAACCCACTGTTTAATATCCATTAACCTTGCCGAGTTGCCGAGTGAATTTTATCAATATTTTTCAAGATAAGTGTTTATAAACTATTATATAACGCGAAAAAATGTTTTGTGCACTTTACTGAACCGTCTTGAGTATAAAAAGTGTTATTTTATTGCCGGAATGCAATAATGTAATACTGCTAATCTGTCAAGTGGGTGCACTAAACTAACAATTGAGAGAAGACTTTGTATGATTATTCCGCTTCAGCAAGAGCACTTGGACAACAAAAAATATCGTGGCGTTTAAGGTTCAATACAGGTCTTGTCCAGCTAGAAGCATATTTGCAGATGACTTTCTGAATAAGTATCCTGGTACAAAACTCTGGTCGGCTTAAATATAAATATTTTGTGATCTCACAGAGAATTTTATCCATTTTTTCAGATATTCAGAGATCCAATATATCTCCAAATAATAATATCTCTCTTAAATTAAATCCTTCTTCTACATCATCGTAACAATAAAATTCCTGTCTTTGCCTGTTTTTGAACGCGGTATTTTTATAATTAAAATTTATCTAATATTTACGTGACAGTTTAAATGAAGATAGCAAAGTACCTTAAGCACGTCCTATGTAAATTACTTATATGGCATTTTTCATATTATTTCATGCATGTTATAATTTTATATAAAAACACTTAAATTTAGCACCAGTGCTACAAATTAATATTGTATGCATTGCATAAATTATTTATTATAGGTGTAAAAAAAATAACGACATTACAAGTATCAAAAAAACATCAGTAAAAAATTTTTAAAAGGTTAAGAGCCGGTTTATAGAACAGCGAATTAAATATTTAATCCTCGATTAGTTTAACAGAGAATTAAAATGTGGAATATGAGCCCGTGATTGGTTAAAATATGCGCGTTGCCTCGCAACGGACCTCAGTTAAAAGTTAATCGCGAATTAACTTTAACTTCGGTTTCTATAAATGGGGTCTAGAAGTATTGAATGCATTTTTTAAGTAGTGTGGAAACTCAAACATTGCGCCTAAATTTAAAAAAGCCGCGAAAAATTCAAAATCTGGCCTTGAATTGCGGAACCCAAGTGTCTGTTTTTATTTCGGAATACGACCAGAAACCAAACTGGTGAACCCTGAGGTTGGAACAATGACGTTAAATCAAAATGCAAAAAATATAAAGGAAAAGTTGTTTATTCCTCCATACTGGAGAGGTAAAAGCTGTGAAACCAGCTGTAAGAACCCTCTCCGGCTGTTAAAAATATGTAGTATAAAATTTTCTCAAATCGATACAAATATTTGAACATCACAAATTTAAGAATGCGAAGAAAAGATAAATCGCTTTTAAGTAACTGGATGGAAGTACGCAAGTTACAATGATGTTGTCGTGACAAATTTCAATATGATAAAAAAATCAAAGACTGTATCGGGAGTCCAATCACAGATCGTCGTTTAGGGATCGATGGCTTTGACTGAAGAGATCAAGTTCTTCTCAGTTTTCAGCGTTACGTTGTGTTGCGAGATTCACGAGCCACGACACATACTCATTCCAGGGAAAATAGAATAATTACATAATTTAGCACTTCTGTGCAGACCGTCTAGTCCTGACCTGACCTGACTTGACCTGAGGCAGAAGTAGGTACTCCAGGCGAGAACGAAATAAAAAGCTCGACACGTGCTAAACTGAGAACAAATCAGAAAGCTCTCCGCCTAGACATCCTTTTGCAAAGGTGACCACATTCATTTGAAATTTGTATGTACTGTCGAAGTGCTGATAATGAATAAATGAATCACAAAGTAGATAAATCTTCGTAATGCCACACTGTAGCAAGATTACATAGTGAACTCACGAATACCCATATCACATAAAAACAAAGCACTATGAAATAAACACAACAGGCACAAATTAATTGTGGCTAAAATCAAAGTAATGTTACGAAATAAACCCATACGCCGGCGCCGCCACGATACGACGCCCATGGGTTTTCTCGACGGCTTTCTAGTATGTACGGTGATGATGGGTAACTCACCGGGCAGCATTCGCTAAAGAAAAGCCTGGAAGCGGAAGTCGCGATTGGTACTCCAGAAAAACCTCGATCGGGAATATCTAGAAAGGAAGTACGAGTTTAAATAGAGTCCACCCTCGGGAACCATTCATTTAGTTAACCAGTCAAGTCCGGTCAATGTTGAGAGAATCCAGTCAAGTTGCACCGGAATTATTTTGCGCTGATTTTAATTCTCGATCAACGTAACACTGGTGTCGGAAGTGAGATTCCAGGTTGATAATTGATTTTACGAAGATCTACGGGCAAATTGGACAAAAATTCTGAAGTTTGATGCCTGTGGAAACTAAACCTCAAGCTGCGGACATGGAGGAACAAGTAAAGCAAATCATGGCTATGCTCACGCAAATGTACGAAAGAAATAAGACCATGGACGAAAAAATAGAGGCAAGAAACAAGGCAATGGACGAGAAGATGGAGGATGAACGCAAGAGACGGATGAATAAACGAAAAAATGGAAATGATGGACATGAAAATAAATAAGCAAATCAACCTAACCGAAAAATTCCAAAAGGGCGTGGAAACAAACAAAAATGAATTAACAGGAATTGAAGAACAAATGAACCATGGACACACATTTGCAAGTTACGAGCATGCAAAATGTTCTCGAAGAAAGTGTGGTCTTAATGGACCAAAAAGTAAAAGATGAAGTCGATCATCAGCTAAAGAGTGAATTCGAGATATCAGTTCAAGAATGTATGATAGATCAAATGAAAACTATGGAAGATAGAATGTAGAGTAAAATGAAGAAATTTGAAACAATAATAAAAAATGCAACAACGACTGGTTCATATAATGTGACGTCGGCTACTCACCTATGATGGTCAAACTTCTTCGTAGTCATACAAGAAGCAGGTCGAAGAAGTATCAAGGTATCAGATATCATCTGATGCCCTGATTCGTGCGCTGCAAGTGAAGGCTGCGTAAAATTCTTCAAGAACGTACCACAAACTCAGAGTGGCAGAATTAGAATCGGAAGAAAATTACAAAGTAGAAAAGCAGCTGGAAAAATTCTCACAGCTAATTATAGATGGGACATCTCAAGGATTAGACAATGGTCTGCCTCGGAAGAGAGCCCCAGAATGCTATAGATGTGGGCGCCAGGGACATCTCAAACGCGATTATCGTGTCCGATCACCAGCTCTGAGAAGAACAGAGATCTCCTCACCAAAATCTACATGGAGACTAGAAACAGTCAGTGCTTTGGGGGATGTACTGGCTGGTGAGAATAAGGCCCCCAGGGAGGTGAAAATAGGAAATTTCACCAGAGGCAGTAGTCCAACTATACCGGGGAAGATTAATAGAACTCTTGCGGCAATCACGATTGACACTGGTGCTGATTCACAAAACAATAAATCAAAGACAATAATATGCAAAAAACGGCAAAATCTTATTTAGTGTAAAATAGAATAATGTTTTTTAACTTTAGAGAATGAAAATGAAATTGATTGAAGAAACCCATACAAGGATTAATGTTAAATAAATAATGTTGTTTTATGTCCGTCGTTATCAAAAAAAAAGAAAATCGTATGTTAGAAGTTGATGAATTAATAAATTAAAAATTGGTCGAATGTTATTTCGATAGAACTTTCTTCGCTCCCAAATCCTACGTGTTTGAAAAATGATAAAAATTTATTATTAGATATATATGTATGTAACGTTAAAGTAAATATGTAAGAAGCGTGCTGCGCGTACGTTTCAAATGAGTTTTCCTTTAACAAAATTTCGTGATGCCTTCATCCACATTTTTGCAAAGATACGTACATTAGTTGGATATGTGCAGTATAATACTAATGATAACAGTATTGTATTCCTAAATTTTCGGGAAAATGGAGTGAACCGTTCCCTATTTAATCAATAAAATAAGTTGACTCATTCACCCTTTTTAAGAAGTTTACAAACTGTTAACACAGTGATAAATCACAAGTAAAAACTCATCATATTTTGCATTTTTTGGATAGAATATATTCGGCAAAATTTGGAGATGACCTCATCAATTTTTTGAGGGGACAATCAGATATTGTATATTGTGATTAAAAATTTACAGTGTTTACGATATATTTCAAACGTTTGCAAGATTTCAAAGAATTCGTTTGTGCAGTTCCTTATTTAATCAAGAAAATAAATTGATTCTGTAATTAATTTTTTGAGTCACCTTGTATAAGTAATTCTAAAAATTATGAGTGCGTTGATAAATCACAAGTATACAGTTACGAGTATAATATTTTGCATATTTCAGAAAGGATTTATTCGGCAACATTTTAAGATGACGTCACCAATTTTTGGTACAGGTTAAACGAATAAATTGTGCTTAGCGTTAACCTTAAAATATTTACAAGATTTCAGAGCATTCGGTTTTACAGCTTCAAAGTTAAACTGCAAGATATTGTTATAGTTTTAGATTTTTTCCCAAAAATCTGGATGTCTAGGGTCAAAATTCGACGCGGATTCACACACCACAAGTGCAGGAGTATCTTATTTTATGAAATTTTAAAATACTTACTATTACAAATTTAAGGAATGACGTCACTCCACTGGTGGTGGCGATGATTAGCCAAATTTTAATTAGCGTTTAACCATCTGCATGATATTCCTAATATTCACACCATTTTTTTCATACCATAGAGGTCATGACACGTCGAGAAAATATAAAAGTGGCAATTCGCGCGATGAATTCCATTACTTCATATAATTCCTTAGCTTACGCTCTGGAAATAAAAAGCAATAAATCTCGCTTATAGCTTAAAATCTTAAATTGAATGTAATTATTGAATTGAATCACTTATTTGTAGTGTAAACTTAGTGAAATAAAAATACAAATAAAATATATAAAAAAAATGTGTTCAAGTATCCTGGCGCATCCGCCATATTTGAAGGCTTTTTTACGTATTGTTTAGTTTGTCGAGTGTGAATTCTGATATTTTA